CAGTCAAAGTTTTCCTGTTTTTTGCTAAATAACGAGATTCTTCGTTTCCAAAAGTATTGGAAATGTTTTATAGACACTTTGCCTCTTCTAGATTGGTTTTTTTTATAAAAATTTTCCTCCAAAAATTGCGATTTTCCAAAGGCTATAGGCTTGGTTTTTTGATAAAATTTCAGTCCAAAGTTTTCCTGTTTTTTTGCTAAATAACGAGATTCTTCGTTTCCAAAGTATTGGAAATGTTTTTTAGACACTTTTGACTCTTTAGAATTGGTTTTTTTTTCTAAAAATTTTCCTCCAAAAATTGGATTTCCAAAGGCTATAGTTTGGTTTTTCTTGAAAAATTTAGTCAAAGTTTTCTCATTTTTTGCAAAATACGAGATTCTTCGGTTTCAAAAGTATTGGAAATGTTTATAGACACATTGGCCTCTTCAGAATTGGTTTTTTTTCTAAAAATATTCCTCCAAAAATTGCGATTTTCCAAAGGCTATAGCTTGGTTTTTTTGAATAAATTTTAGTCAAAGTTTTCTCATTTTTTGCAAAATAACAAAATTCTCGTTTCCAAAAGTATTGGAAATGTTTATAGACACTTTTGACTCTTCTAGGATTGGTTTTTTTTTCTAAAAATTTTCCTCCAAAAATTCGATTTTCCAAAGGCTATAAGAAATTTATCAAAAAAAACCAAGCCTATAGCCTTTGGAAAATCGCAATTTTTGGAGGAAAATTTTTAGAAAAAAAACCAATCCTAGAAGAGGTCAAAAATGTCTATAAAACATTTCCAATACTTTTGGAAACGAAGAATCTCGTTATTTAGCAAAAAAACAGGAAAACTTTGGACTAAAATTTATCACAAAAAACCAAACCTATAGCCTTTGGAAAATCGCAATTTTTGGAGGAAAATTTTTAGAAAAAAAACCAATTCTAGAAGAGGTCAAAAGTGTCTATAAAACATTATCAATACTTTTGGAAACGAAGAATCTCGTTATTTAGCAAAAAATCAGGAAAACTTTAGACTGAAATTTATCACAAAAAACCAAGCCTATAGCCTTTGGAAAATCGCAATTTTTGGAGGAAAATTTTTAGAAAAAAAACCAATTCTAGAAGAGGTCAAAAGTGTCTATAAAACATTTCCAATACTTTTGGAAACGAAGAATCTCGTTATTTAGCAAAAAAAACAGGAAAACTTTGGACTAAAATTTATCACAAAAAACCAAGCCTATAGCCTTTGGAAAATCGCAATTTTTGGAGGAAAATTATTAGAAAAAAAACAATTCTAAAAGAGGCCAAAAGTGTCTATAAAACATTTCCAATACTCTTGAAAACCGAAGAATCTCGTTATTTAGCAAAAAATCAGGGAAACTTTGGACTGAAATCTTTCAAAAAAACCAAGCCTATAGCCTTTGGAAAATCGCAATTTTTCGAGGAAAAATTTTTTAGAAAAAAATCCAATTCTAGAAGAGCGCAATAGAGTCTATAAAACATTTCCAATACTTTTGGAAACGAAGAATCTCGTTATTTAGCAAAAAATCAGGAAAACTTTGGACTGGAATTTTTCATAAAAAACCAAGCCTAAAGCCTTTGGAAAATCGCAATTTTTGGAGGGAAATTTTTTAGAAAAAAAAACCAATTCTAGAAGAGGTCAAAAGTGTCTATAAAACATTTCCAATACTTTTGGAAACGAAGAATCTCGTTATTTAGCAAAAAAACAGGAAAACTTTGGACTAAAATTTATCACAAAAAACCAAACCTATAGCCTTTGGAAAATCGCAATTTTTGGAGGAAAATTTTTAGAAAAAAAACCAATCCTAGAAGAGGTCAAAAGTGTCTATAAAACATTTCCAATACTTTTGGAAACGAAGAATCTCGTTATTTAGCAAAAAAACAGGAAAACTTTGGACTGAAATTTATCACAAAAAACCAAGCCTATAGCCTTTGGAAAATCCCAATTTTTGGAGGAAAATTTTTAGAAAAAAACCAATTCTAGAAGAGGTCAAAAGTGTCTATAAAACATTTCCAATACTTTTGAAAACCGAAGAATTTTGTTATTTTGCAAAAAATGAGAAAAACTTAAGACTAAAATTTGTCAGAAAAACCAAGCCTATAGCCTTTGGAAAATCGCAATTTTTGGAGGAAAATTTTTTAGAAAAAAAACCAATTCTAGAAGAGGCCAATTGTGTCTATAAAACATTTCCAATACTTTTGGAAACGAAGAATCTCGTTATTTAGCAAAAAAACAGGAAAACTTTGGACTGAAATTTATCACAAAAAACCAAGCCTATAGCCTTTGGAAAATCGCAATTTTTGGAGGAAAATTTTTAGAAAAAAACCAATTCTAGAAGAGGTCAAAAGTGTCTATAAAACATTTCCAATACTTTTGAAAACCGAAGAATTTTGTTATTTTGCAAAAAATGAGAAAAACTTAAGACTAAAATTTGTCAGAAAAACCAAGCCTATAGCCTTTGGAAAATCGCAATTTTTGGAGGAAAATTTTTAGAAAAAAAACCAATCCTAGAAGAGGTCAAAAGTGTCTATAAAACATTTCCAATACTTTTGAAAACCGAAGAATTTTGTTATTTTGCAAAAAATGAGAAAAACTTTCGACTAAAATTTATCACAAAAAACCAAGCCTATAGCCTTTGGAAAATCGCAATTTTTGGAGGAATATTTTTAGAAAAAAAAACCAATTCTAGAAGAGGCCAATTGTGTCTATAACACATTTCCAATACTTTTGGAAACCGAAGAATCTCGTTATTTTGCAAAAAATGAGAAAAACTTTAGACTAAAATTTTTCAGATAAAACCAAACCTATAGCCTTTGGAAAATCCCAATTTTTGGAGGAAAATTTTTAGAAAAAAAACCAATTCTAGAAGAGGTCAAAAGTGTCTATAAAACATTTCCAATACTTTTGGAAACGAAGAATCTCGTTATTTAGCAAAAAAACAGGAAAACTTTGGACTGAAATTTATCACAAAAAACCAAGCCTATAGCCTTTGGAAAATCGCAATTTTTGGAGGAAAATTTTTAGAAAAAAAACCAATCCTAGAAGAGGTCAAAAATGTCTATAAAACATTTCCAATACTTTTGGAAACGAAGAATCTCGTTATTTAGCAAAAAAACAGGAAAACTTTGGACTAAAATTTATCACAAAAAACCAAACCTATAGCCTTTGGAAAATCGCAATTTTTGGAGGAAAATTTTTAGAAAAAAAACCAATTTTAGAAGAGGTCAAAAGTGTCTATAAAACATTTCCAATACTTTTGGAAACGAAGAATCTCGTTATTTAGCAAAAAAACAGGAAAACTTTGGACTGAAATTTATCACAAAAAACCAAGCCTATAGCCTTTGGAAAATCGCAATTTTTGGAGGAAAATTTTTAGAAAAAAAACCAATCCTAGAAGAGGTCAAAAATGTCTATAAAACATTTCCAATACTTTTGGAAACGAAGAATCTCGTTATTTAGCAAAAAAACAGGAAAACTTTGGACTGAAATTTATCACAAAAAACCAAGCCTATAGCCTTTGGAAAATCGCAATTTTTGGAGGAAAATTTTTAGAAAAAAAACCAATTCTAGAAGAGGTCAAAAGTGTCTATAAAACATTTCCAATACTTTTGGAAACGAAGAATCTCGTTATTTAGCAAAAAAACAGGAAAACTTTGGACTAAAATTTATCACAAAAAACCAAGCCTATAGCCTTTGGAAAATCGCAATTTTTGGAGGAAAATTATTAGAAAAAAAACAATTCTAAAAGAGGCCAAAAGTGTCTATAAAACATTTCCAATACTCTTGAAAACCGAAGAATCTCGTTATTTAGCAAAAAATCAGGGAAACTTTGGACTGAAATTTATCACAAAGAACCAAGCCTATTGCCTTTGGAAAATCGCAATTTTTGGAGGAAGATTTTTAGAAAAAAAAGCTAATCCTAGTAGAGCCCAATAGTGTCTAAAAACATTTCCAATACTTCTGGAAACCGAAGGATATCGTTGATTAGCAAAAAATTCATACAAATTTTGGATGCAGTGTTCAATAGAAGACGGCGTTTATCAGAGGGCGGCGAAATGAAAAGACTTGATGAAAAGTTTGTCAAATGAGAAATGACAAGAAAAGTCTGATGAAAAAAGATAACAACAGACTTTAAACAATGTTTTCTTTTCCCAAAAACACGATAGAAAGATTTCCCAAAAACACGAAAAGTTCACGTGAAATGTCAAGAAATGTCAAGGAATGTCAATATCCCTCTCTTCGTCAGAGCCCTCGTCTCTATGACATACTACTTTAATAGCTTTCGAATAGTAAGCGTAAAAACTATTCGTTACTTCTTGTTTGGTGTCTTTTCTAATAAACGTCGCTTTTCAAGATGCGGGGTTTATCAGAGGGCGGCGTTTATCAGAGGGCGGCGTTTTTCCACATGGTTGGTTGAAGATGCGGCGTTTATCAGAGGGTGGCGTTCATTAGAGAAAATACGGTACATTGCAGAACAAATGAACATAGCTTAATCAATGCAAAGATATCACTTTTTGAAGGTAATATTTGTCACATGAAAAAAAATAATCTTTCGAATTAGAATCGAATAAAATACAAAAATAACGTACATTGCATTCCTTTTAACACTTATCAAACATAGTAAAATAGAATAAGAAAGGATTTTACACAGTTCAAGGCAACATTACAAACTAACGATATTTCGGCACCAATAGAACGTGGGTCTACAGGAAATAGGCACCAATTGAACTGAAATTCTGGGAGATGTTGGAGGAAGAAACGGGATTCGGGAATGCTTTCATGTTGGGTCAAGTAAAACAGTAAGGTGAAAAAGCAGAAAATGACACCTATTCGTAGAAATTAGAATCAGTTTCTCTCACCTGCAGGCTTTATCAAGACGTGGATCTTGGATGTTGGATCTAGGATCTTGAATCTAACACGCCAGTTTGGGACACGTTCCATGCAGAAAGCATTTCATGGATTTTAAGGCATTCTGTCCCCTCGATGATTGGCTAATATGAACAATAGCTTACCTCCTCCTTAACGGATTACGCTGCTCGCTTTGGCTGGCCTAGCTGCGGTAGTGGAAGACATTTGAAACTGCAAGCAAAAGGCTATCGGAAATGGCAAAAAAGATTTAATTACTGGAATTGAATGATGACAATATGTCAAGTTTGGAATGATCTTGACTTAGAATCAAAATTGGCATCCTCCATCCATTGCTTTAAATCGAGACTTAAAACTTACAAGGGTCTCTAACATGGACAAATTCGTCCTTCTTTCCGTTTCTCTGTCTTTCTTTTTATTCTTTCAGATTGTATTATATTGTATTTTTATATTTATATTTTACATTTATATTTTATAATCAAAATAACTCGGTATTATTAGATACTTTCTTCACAGGGCCAATTGTAAAACAGGTTTCTACACTGAATTGTTACCCTGTATAAATAAGTTTAAAATGGAATGAAATAAAATAAAAAGGAAATAATGGACGCATTTCTTTGCCCTGTTGACATATCTGTCGCAGAAACCAAACAGGGAAACTAAATTTTCCAACCCACAGCTTCGCTAAAACGGAAACACAGCCATTTGATTCAAAAGCTCTGGAATAAAAATTGTCTCTGATTGGTTTAAATCGTTTAATTATCGACCAAGGTCAACGGTGCGTGAATTTCACTCCCGTGAAAATAAAACTGAGCACAATAGGGGACAGACTGCCTTTAATAACGAAAGAAATATGGCTTTCCGGAACAAAGGACACTAAAATGTATGTTTGCACCATACAAGGGATACATAGTCTGTAAAGCAGAAGACATGCTTCTGGTACCTTATAAGGTAAATCTGGTTTCGCAAAACAAAATACATTGAATTTTTTTTCAATCTTACATGAAGCAACAAGAAATTAAATAAAGGAAAGAATTGCTTCAATTTCTCTACCTCCTACGCATGAAGTAGTTGATCAAAAAAGGGTTAATAATTGTCATGGCTAAAAGAACCATCTTCCATACGGATTGAGACCGCTGAGTGTCTATAAGTTCGTTTTCAAGCATTCGTACGCGTCTTTGAAGTTGACTAAGTGACATTTGACTGTTGACTACCCACTGTTCATCCTCCCTTCCAACAACAGCCATTCGCTCTCTATCTTTGTCAAATCGACCCGCACTTGATAACCTTATGGGCAAGGAACAGAACAGTGTTACAGTTGCATCAGAGACAAAAAAGAAGCCTCTCAGATAACTTGAGGTTCATCGTAGAATCTAAAACATGTTTCTGTGAAACAAAAACCTTGTCGTGTACGAATGGAACAAGCCATGATCATCATAGGAAAAATCTTGCTACAGCTTAAAGGCAATCTGTCTCGTTGTGGACTAGTTAACGAGAACAATAGCTTGAACAATAGCCTAAACACAATTCCAGCGCTCCGCCATATTTTCTACAATGCGATGAATTAAAGGGGGACCGTAAACATAAAAAATCCCTCTGATCTTATAATCAAGCAACGTCATGACAGATTGCCTTTAAAACGTTGAGTGTTGTACTTTCTATACCCTAATTGCTCCAAAACATGGCATTTTACTATGTTTCAAACAATCGGCCAAGCCTAATTGGCCAAGCCTAATCGGCCAAGCTAACCAGCTAGCATTGTGGAATCTGCTAAAATCCTATTAGAAACAGGAAACAGGAAAGATAGCAAACAAGAGTTTGTTTGGGGTTGATTGTGTCAAAATTGAAGCGGAAAGAAATAGGAAAATTATTACAAATACTTTGGTCCAATAACATCAATTATTAGACTTCAAGTTGTGTCAATAACTAGGCTAAACCCGAATGCTGTAAAATGCTTTTATTAAGGTCACAAAAATCAGCTCCAAGTAAAAGCCTGAACAAGTAGAACAAAATTTCAAGATTTTGCTGGTATGGAGACTTTGGAAATGTAAGTGGGCCTATGGTCAAGAGACCTTTAGCAAAGAACGAAAAGAAGAAATGGAGTCAATAACCGAGAGAGATCCGATTAAAGTGTTGATTTTTAACTTAAAATTTATTGTGGTGCAATATTGGGAAGGGAATTTAAAAGTTGAGCAATCCTAAAAGGAATGAAAATAAGTAAAAGAAGGGCAGTGGCACCAGAAAACATGAGCAAATTGCATTCAGCAGAGCAAATCGCTGTGGAAGTAGGGTTTGCTTAAAACGGGAAACAAATGCACGGAACATAAGAAGTGATCATTAAGAAGACGGACAGATTTAGCCTGGGTTTTATCTTTATGGGTGTGATTCCTAAAATTGAGATGTACAGAGAGAGAAAAGTTGGATTGGTAAACGCAGTCACTTTATGGATATGAACCTCTTCGTGACAACATGTGAAGTGCTTCCTTAAAATCTAGCAATTTCGTTTAAAAATCCACTCCAACATTCTCTATTAAAAACTTTTATAAAAAATTCACATTGCAAAAAGCATGAAAAACAAAAAACCTGTAAAGATGAACCCACCTACTCTCTTCGTCGCTATCTTCACCATCTTGGTACTGTTTTTGGAGCATTGAAATTGTTTGAAATTGGGGATGGCTAGTGGCACTGCCGTCACCATCTTGAGTTCGAGATCTGTGCGTAATGGAAACAGTAGTTGCAATGAAATGAAATCATAGGATACCATTAACCTGTAGCTATAAAACCTATGTCCATCTTTAGAGAAAAACTATATGAAATTCTTTTCACAAAGGAGGGTTAACAAATATAATCTGGCTTGGATCCAATTGTTATGGAGAAGCAATAAACAAGTCAAAACAAAGTTAGAAATATGGAAAATAAAAATTTGAAAAGGAGCTAGAGAGCTGATAATTGAAAAAAATAAAAATGTACCCTGCATTGTGGTGAAAAAAGAGGAAACAGATATCTCCAATACAGAAAAAAATTCTAAAGCAATAAAATCCACTTATGGTGCCACTTGTTAATGATAAAAATATTGTTTAGATAATACATCTTTTAAAATAACTTGAAATTGTACGAGGAAAACAAGCGAATACAAAATAATGACATTTCAAGCATAGCCCGTTATCAATTGGTCACATTACGATACGCAAGCTAGTGTATTTATGGAACTATATTTGGGTTTTCCATCAAATAGCTTGGAAGAAGGTAAAACTGTTGTTGGTAGATTGCAGCTTCCATATCGGTCCTTTTTCTTTAGTAAAAACAATCAAGGTATGCAGCTGATGCCTAGCATCACATAGGAATTACTACTGATGTGCTTTGCAGGAATGCAATACATCCACACTTTTTTCTTCCAAACTGGCCGCACATTAAGATATAACATCAGTCCACATAATGATATATGTCCGCTGTCACTGATGCAAATCAAATGAAGAAGGTATCAATTGTGCACACAATTTTACATCTGACTCAAGGAAGTATTTGACTTTTCATTCAATATACTGTCAAATCCCTAAAAACCCCTCCCAATAAAAAGTCTAACGCAAGTCTAAAAAAAACAAAAAATAATTTTGAGGTGTTCACCTCTTGCTCGTCATCCTTAAAGCTCTTGCAAACCCCCTCACTATCAATGTACAATTAAAACTTTGCATAATACTGCATAATCAAGAAATCTAGCTTTATAAAAGCATAAACATTTAACTATAATACACAAATAGCAAAAAGGTATTGGATACTGAAGCTACTGACCTTGCATATGTTGTATCTGAATCATCTATAGTCAATGTTGAAGGAGGGGTATGCATGCCCCCCATCAATACATCAGGTGGGTGCAGGGGTTGATCATCAAAAAGGTATTGCCCTGATGTTTGACTTTCTTCATCCTCATTGTCATCACCATCATAGCCAGCTGACAAGACTATAATATAACATTAAGAGTAGGTATCAACATTTCTCATTTTATTACTAAGAAAAACAAACCTTTGCAAGGTTTTCACTCTCAAAAATTTATGCACACCATCAAAGACATGCATGGTAGCAGCTGGCTGTGCAAATCTAAATTTTGTTTACAGCTGTTTAAAGATTTTCCACCTCTGAAACACAATTCCAATAGACAATTCTTAAGTGTTTTTCTAAACAGGGTCATTGCTAGATATTGTGCTCAAGGAGGGATTCCAAGAACCATATGCTGGCTGAGGGTGAGCTATCAATATTTGCAAACAAATTTGCTGACTAAGCACCCTTAGATGGCAAAAGCTCATCATTTATTAAACAAAACATTTTAAGGGGGTTTCACACTTTTCACATGTGCCAAGACAACGGTAAAATTCTAAGTTTAGCATAGCTAAAGAATCCCAAGGTCAATGTCAGGAAAAGAAGAGTCAGGATACAAAACAACTTGGTGTTGTAGATCACAATAAGGGTAATATTATTTAAAACAAGCACATGTCTAGGCAATCTTTTCTTGGAAATTTAAAGCTTTCCCTATAACGTTAATAGGTTTTTCAAAAATTTTAATCAATCTTCCTTGACCATCTGATTTTTTGTCATAAACAAGAGCAAGGAAAAGGCTGTTTTATTTTGACCCATTTTCTCTGTCGTTTTTTTTCATCTGAAACCATTTACATTTTGATATGTTTTTGTGTTGTTCCATTGTCAATATTTGTTTCCAAATTGATATCTGTTATAGATTTATATCTGTCTTATAAATTGATATACACTAGGGTATTTGGAGAGCAATATATATATATATATGTTTATATAATGTTGATATTAAAGACAGTGAACAAATTACTTAAAAAGTAGAAAGAAAACCATTTGCACTTTTTATTCGATTGCATAGAGCTAAATTTTGCACTTTTGTTTTTCAAATTTCATCATTTTCATCAATTAGTTTTCATTGAAAGGAGCCTTTACCCCAAATTCAATTTTCTACTGTAAAAAACTTCAGGGTTTAGGTTGTCCTTATGGGGGGGAAGTGGTCAAAATGAGGTGATGGTTAAAAACTTTTGCACTTTGAGACGTGGATCAGCCATGCAGCTGCTTTGTTTCCTTTTACCTGCTTTTTCTGACTATCTAAATTTTTTCACTTTTTTAGTTTGATAGTACTCTCAATAGTTTTCTGGCTTAAGTGGAAAGATCTTTTTTAAGCATGAAAATAGTATAATGTTCTGACATTTTCGTTGCAGAATGTCAAATTTTTGTCACTAAAATTGCTTTGAAACATAATTAATCATTCTTAAAGTTCACATGGGTGCATGCCTGCAGGCTCAGGTGCCATAACGCACTTCTACTGAAAACTACGCCTTTCCAACATAGAATACACCCTGTGGCGAATTATCTTCTCTAGAATTTGTTTAAATATTCTTTCCTTCTAGAATTGTTCACACAGAATAACCACTGACTTTAAAATATTAAGACATTCATATTCATCCTACTTTCACTGCATACTAATTCAATTTCCATATTGGAATATGTAAACTAAACTTGTATATTTGGTGGTTGTGTTTCTCAGTTGATTTTGGTGAAGAATTTGAGATGACAAATGGCAGATGGTTTGTTGACTTTATCTCAAATGCGATGAATTCATTCCTGTAGTTTCATGTACACTCATTTTTTTATAAGAATCTGGCTAGAAGAAACAAGTACTGGACAATAAAAAAAATTAAGAAACTTCAGTACTCGAAGCAAACAAATTAAGAAATTATTAAATTGGGATAAAACTGAGAATTTAATTTTTTATTTTTCATTCACATTCTTCTTTTGAAATCGAACACCTACACCTATACACATCTGATCGGGCATATGACCTAGATAGCTCCTTGTGAGTTCTTTTCATATGTCCGACAGCACACATACCAAACTTTGAACTATCTACTGTTTGTAGTTTTTCTTTTTTGTAAAAAATAATTGTTATTTGTGGTTCAAGTATTAAATAGAAATGTAGTAGTTAATTATTGCTGTGAATGAAATGTTTTGAGTTTGAGTTTGAGTTTTGAGAACAACAAAAATTTGTAAAATCCAAGAACATGATTGCCCTGTTGGCCTAGAACTTAAGACAAAATGGATAAAAATATACTTCCCACATCTAATTACATCATCAGAATGGAAGGGAATCTCTTGACGTGATAAAAAAGGTCATGAACATTCCATAACACCATTCATGACATCATAATTAAGAAACTCTTAAGAAACGATGAGTATTGAAATTTGAAGAACATTAAAAAACTGGAGTACTCAACATTGGCCTTTGTTTCTTATAAAAGATGAGTGTATATAAATCCAAAAGCCTTTCCTCACCCAAAGAACTAATAACTCCAAATTGCTTGTAAAATTTTCCAGCCATTCACATTAAATTTTGCAAAGCTTTGATATTGAAATTTTAATAACAGTTTAATGAGCTTTCACAGCCTACAACTGAATATTTTCCCATATAGATTCATCATCCTACAATTGAGAGCGATGTTGGGCCGGAGCCGTCGCTCTCATGCAAATGGTACCCCTCATGTCAAATATGTACCTGACGTGTCGAATTTTCAAACGCGAAAAAAAATATAAAGATACCAATAAAACCAACAGATGATGATATTCATGTATTCGGCAACTCTTCTTTATCCGTTTTAACTTAATATCGGGGTTATTGCCGATCGTTTTCTGTCAATATTCAGTAAAGTAAACCAACCACTATAGGCCCGGTGAACACAAAACAAAGCTCCCACGACTAAGTGTCGAGTCTTGTTCAGAAAGGCAGGGGATTCCCTGTGTATCAGCAATGATTGCTGGGGGGTACGGTCAAAAATTAATCGAATTCATCTTCAAACACGTAATTCGAAGAAACGAAAACACTCAATGAAACGACATGTGCTACAAAGAATACAAAGTATCATCAAATACGTGTGTAATAAGATTGGTACCACAAAATAAATCAGAATCTAGCTTTTTTCGCTCCGCCACCAAGAGACGGTAGAGACTTAGTCTCTGGAAGGGTCGGCTCCGTGTACCCCTCCTGTCGAATTTTGGAAAACTTGCCAAAATGCGCCGCTTCTCAAGTTTAGATGAAATCTAATATCAAATAAGTGTGTAATAAGATTGGTACCACATTATCTTGATCAAAATAAATCAGAATCTAGCTTTTTTCGCTCCGCCACCAAGGGACGGTAGAGACTTAGTCTCTGGAAGGGTCGGCTCCGTGTACCCCTCCTGTCGAATTTTGGAAAACTTGCCAAAATGCGCCGCTTCTCAAGTTTAGATGAAATCTAATATCAAATAAGTGTGTAATAAGATTGGTAACACATTATCTTGATCAAAATAAATCAGAATCTAGCTTTTTTCGCTCCGCCACCAAGGGACGGTAGAGACTTAGTCTCTGGAAGGGTCGGCTCCGTGTACCCCTCCTGTCGAATTTTGGAAAACTTGCCAAAATGCGCCGCTTCTCAAGTTTAGATGAAATCTAATATCAAATAAGTGTGTAATAAGATTGGTACCACATTATCTTGATCAAAATAAATCAGAATCTAGCTTTTTTCGCTCCGCCACCAAGAGACGGTAGAGACTTAGTCTCTGGAAGCGTCGGCTCCGTGTACCCCTCCTGTCGAATTTTGGAAAACTTGCCAAAATGCGCCGCTTCTCAAGTTTATGAGAAATAATATCAAATAAGTGTGTAATAAGATTGGTAACACATTATCTTGATCAAAATAAATCAGAATCTAGCTTTTTTCGCTCCGCCACCAAGAGACGGTAGAGACTTAGTCTCTGGAAGCGTCGGCTCCGTGTACCCCTCCTGTCGAATTTTGGAAAACTTGCCAAAATGCGCCGCTTCTCAAGTTTATGAGAAATAATATCAAATAAGTGTGTAATAAGATTGGTAACACATTATCTTGATCAAAATAAATCAGAATCTAGCTTTTTTCGCTCCGCCACCAAGAGACGGTAGAGACTTAGTCTCTGGAAGGGTCGGCTCCGTGTACCCCTCCTGTCGAATTTTGGAAAACTTGCCAAAATGCGCCGCTTCTCAAGTTTAGATGAAATTTAATATCAAATAAGTGTGTTATCGGAATTATAAGCAGGTTATAGGCAGAAAGATTGATTTTCCCAATGTTCTAATGTTTTGTTAGCATACAGGAATTTCAGCGACTACTAAAGACCACTTACACGTATGTCGAAAACGTTATTTACAGTAAGAATTTTGCAGTATCGTTAATCAAGAGTCATTAAGATTGGGTATAAATTATACATAATAATCCTAATTAAGCTTAGAATATCTGATTCATAGTCGCATTTATAAATACTTGTAACGATAGAAGCGTTTGTATACGGGCTATTGATATAAGCCAGCTTATTTCTTAGGGACATCAAATGTTTCTACTGGGTAAGATAATCTGAGATTCGATATACATTGTTTAGTTCAAATCTATGCGCGCTAATGTGCAACGGAAACAGGCCTCTGTGCGTCTTGACATTCTAGTAACGAAGGTTTGTAGGACGTGTACATTTTACGCTTGATATAGATTTAAACTAACTTTCATCCGCCTATCTAGAAGAAAAATCGGTTCTTCTTTTCAAAAATTGCTATCACTTGATTGAGAGCTGTCATCTAAGGAGCGTAACTGAACCTTGGCAAGAAGTTCTTTGAATGAAGCCTTTTTTTTTATTTTTCCTTCCCTTTTCTTCTTAATCCCACCCTTGACTCCCCTGCGGATCTTCATTTTACCGCGAGACCGTTCTTGTAAGGACAAATTGTCATTTTCGTCGCTATCATGCACTGTGATTATTTTTGGACCATGCTTGCATTTCTTGCAAAGCCACGGCGAAGAATTAATATCTGACTCACAATCATTGTGATACCAGGCTTTGCATTTTTCACAGCATATCATTTTCGTCTTCAAGTCAGGTAAGTTGCAATGACAATAAAGAACTGGTTTTATGACAAACTTCGTACCAGAGGGTTCC